TCAGACGTGTGCTCTTCCGATCTCCCCAAAACCCCAAAACCCCAAAACCCCTAACATTGAGTCAAGAGAATTTTTGTTTGAATAAATATCTTATGGTTAATTTAATATTTAAGTACAGTTTTCCTCTGGACTTTTTGAGCTACTTCCTCACAAAGAAATGTCGAGAACATTCTCATTCTTTCTGATTTCTTCTAGGGCTTGGTCAATATTGGAGATTTCGCCAATGAATTTAATGTTAGCAACGCAGGCAAGTCTGTCTTTGAATACAATGTTCTCTACTTCTTGGACATTCAACTAATGGTTTGCGAAAACTTAGAAAGCATGAGCTAATACACCAACTTTGTCCAGATGTCTAATGCTCATTTTATGGATCTAATCAGAACTATTTTCTCTATTAACACAGTTCTCATTATCAACAGCACCTTAGGTTGCGAATTTCTTAATGATTCTTACTGCCTCTTCTCCGATAGCAGCCTCAGATTGCTTAGTTGATGCTCCAATATGATGAGTTCCATATACTCTTGGATGTTTGGCAATTGGATGGTCAAAAACACCATCTTTACCTGCTGGCTCTCCCTTGAACACATCAGTTCCATACCAGAAGTCTTTATTCTCCTCCAAATGAGCGAATAAGTGGTCTTCGTTAACAATGGATCCTCTTGAGGTATTCAATAAGACTGCATCTTTCTTCATGTGACTTAGAAGCTCACTGTCGATGATATTCTCAGTGCTTTTGCCTCCTGGGATGTGGAAGCTTACTACGTCCGAGTTTTGGAGTAAATATCCAAGATTGTTGGTTACTTCTATTCCGTATTTCTTAGCAAGATCTGGTCTCGCTTGTCTTGAGAATCCAATAACGTTCATTTCAAATGCTTTTGCTCTTTCGATAACTAAGAGACCAATAGATCCGAGTCCTACTACTCCGATTGTTTTCCCTTTAATACCTGCGCAATTAGCATAAGCTCCCTTGTTCCATTTAGCTTCCTTAAGAAGTTGAACATTCTCAGCGATTCTTCTGTCAATAGACAACATTAAACCAAGAGCAAGCTCTGCTACGGCATGTGCGTTTTTACCTGGGCAGTTGGTAACATAAACTCCTAGGCTAGCACAATGAGCTACATCAATAGTATCGTATCCAGCTCCAGCTCTTACGACCATTTAGAGTTTTGGATCTGCATCTATCATATCCTTGGTAACCTTGGTAGATCTAACAACAAGAATATTTGGTTGAACTTCACTCATTGCTTTGGTTAAAGACTCTCCATTGAGACCTGCATCATAATGGACTTCAATGCCTGAGGCTTTGAGATCTTCCATACCATCCTTTGAAAATAAATCAGCTACTAGAACTTTCATTGATTGTTTCTTAATCTTGAAATTAAAGTTAAAGATATACAAATAAGATTCTCGGCCTTAAATTTATCTTTACTTTTATGACTTCAAGATTCTAGAAGCTGGGGTTTTGGGGTTTTGGGGTTTTGGGGTTTTGGGG